TGAGATTTTGATTTTGATTGCTATTTTGATTTCCTTTTGCTTGGCACCATATGAGCTTTGGATTTTGATGAGGATCCATATTTTGGTAGAGGAAAAGATGATTGTGATGGCACTGGTGATCCACAGGTCAACCTTGTATGACCACTTTCCTTGCACCGACTACATGTTGATATCCTCTTCTCTTCACCCTTAGACGGTATACGATCGTGATTTTTTGGTCGGCCAGGTAGCCTGTTATCCATGACTGGTGGCAAAAATGTTTGTAAGTCATCTGGTATGTTCCACTCAGAAGGATGTGGAATAGGGTAGACAATCTCGGCATAAGGATGTCGATATACTTCTATAGTGTAGCAATCCATAGCGTATGCGCTTGAATCATCTTGGTTTAGATGAAGAGTAACTTTTATAACATGGCCACACGGATAACCAGATGTTTGTCATTTCATACAACTACACGTCTTTGCATTTAGCTCGACAAGCACATTCAAACAAAGTGTTTGAACATGGTTCAACTCTCCATGACGTTGACTTCACAACACGTTTCGTTATCTTTTTTTCAGTCCATGGTGTAACACGACATTCCAATGTTCCTGTAAATTTAAATAAATAATACTTAGTAAAATATATATTAAATATGATAAGTTACGAATTTAAAGAAATAATACATTCATGGTTTCTTTTCTTGTAGTACCACTGTTGAATAGAAGCTTGAAAAAACTCCATTAACATAGTAATGGGTAATTTTCGGGAATGACGACTTAAAGTGTTGATTGATTCTGCACTATTAGACGTCATGAAACCATATCTTGCTCCAAGTTGATGTACTCTTGACCATCTTTCAAACCCGACATATTCTAGTGTTTGAGCACATTGAGGCAAAACACGTCTTAAACAATTTATATGCTTATTAAAATCCACTTCCCAATAAGCTTTTACAGCCTTCCAGTATATCCATTTGTGATTTTTTATACCAGCACACCTTGATTTTAGATTTCTGTACAAATGAACACCACAAAGTCCATGAAAATCATCTGGAAAACACCTTCTAACAGCGTTGTCAATTGAGTTTGCCCTATCGGATATGATTGTCAGATTGCTAATAGGACCTATACAATCCCTAAGATGCCCTATAAACCATGTCCATGAAACAGAGGTTTCATATTTGCCAACCCTGTAAGCTATTGGCAGTATCCCATTGTTAGCATCCATGATTACTGGTAATAAGTTTACTCCAAGGTATCGACCTTTCAAATGTGCCCCGTCAACTATAATAACTGGGCGCATACAAGTAATAAACGAACGAATCTACAAAATAATATATACAAGAAATATAATCATTTAAATGTGAAATGCATGTAACTAACAAAAATGAGTCAACAAAATTATATTGATTTATTAACTACAGCACCAATGGCGATAAACAACAACTCAAAGCGTCCATCTCTATCTATTTTGATATGAGTTACCGACCCAGGATTTTTCAGCTTTAAATTGTGACAATAAGCCGGCAGTTGGGCAAACGATACTTCTGGCGACCCCCTCAACAATTTCAAGGCATAACATTTGGCTCTCCAAGCTTGAGAATATGAGATACTAATCTTGAACCTAGCATTCATGTCAGTCATAATTTCATGTCCCCGATATACCCTACCATTCAAAAACATTAACTCATCCAGAAAACCACCCAACACCTTTTTGTTTGACTGTCTATGGTGAGGAAAAACTTGGGTACTTGAACATGTATGTTTATCAATAAAAGTCCTAACTTGAAACATTTCGTAATCTTTTATCCTCTTTGCAATCATACGCCACGTACAATTTTTGTCAATCATATACCTTGTTTCGAAACGATCTTTGCTTGATTTGTTAACTTTTAGTTGATAGCCATCTTCCACACATTTCGTATACAAAGCTATCTTCAAGTCTTCCTTTGTATCAAAACAATCATCTTTCTTGATACGAATAACTTTTGTGTAACAATCAACTGCTATCTTTACCAACTCTTCTTCCGGTATCTGAAGTAATTCTGGCATATTCCAGTTATACTCCCATGGCATTTTCTTCTTTTTCTTTTCTTCGGGGACTTCTTCTTCTTCTTCTTTTTCTTCTTCAGAGTTATATGAATTACAGAATGGATGTTCAACATGTTCATTCACAGTCGTAACTTCTTCCTCATTATCATCAACAACATCTTCCTCGGCAACGGCTGTTTCATCATCAAAATTTGGGTATTGACCAATATCAAAATCATTACACACAGGGTCTGTTTCTTCTTTTGAAACATCATCAAAATCCGAGTATTGACCAAGATCAAAGTCCGGGTATTGACCAAGATCAAATTTCAAATACTGACTAGTACTCACAATTTTTTCTGTTGGCTCATCATCGTCTAACCGGTCAATACGAAAACCGAAATTTGGTGTTGGCTCATCAAAATATTGGGATTTGAATTAGGAAAAGATTGTGGGTTTTGAGATTGTGTTTGGTATTGGAAATGTGGTGAAACAAAATTTTCTTGGTGATGAAATTGTGCTGGAACCATTAAATTTTGAGGTTGATAATAACATTGTACATTTTGAGCACCATAAACTGGGGTTGAAGAACTTAGTTGATTACTACCCGCTACTGACACAACTTCACTACTTCTAGGTTCAACAACATACAATGTAATATCATCTTCTTGTGAAACACTAATGTAAGCAATGAATCGTTCAACATCTTCATTGTCGGTTAACAAATAAACTTTACCTTTTCTCTGATAAGATAGCCTAAATCCACTTAGAGGCTCTAAATTCACTTAGAGGCTCTAAATTCAATTACTTTGCAACACGTAACATTAGAGTTTCATAAGTTAACTTTTTTAATGACAGTTTTAGTTGAAGATTCATGGGTAAAGACATATATCGTAAAACACCATGAACATTCTCCCATGACCCTCCAAAACACAAATCTATCCAAACATGATCAACATTAGATGATTTCATTCTACAAATTGTAAATTAATTTACTAAACAAACGAGCTATAAACTACATATCATCACTAACTTAGAGAAGAACATACCTTTATTAAGTTGATAGTTGATAATTTGGGAGAGAAATCATTGAAAAATTATATAGAAATAAAATTATGTAAAAAAAATTAGAGATGAGGAAGGATGTCATTGGATATAGGAACAGATGTCGTCGGAGAGACTGATAGATGGAGATGGAATGAGTTGCGATTTAGGGATTTAGGTTATGAGTTGTTGCTGCTGCGTAGTTATATACCCAAAACATTTGTGTTGCGAAAATAAAACATGTTGCGAAATTAAAATTCTTGTTGCGAATTCGAAAATCGAGTTGCGAATTCAGAAATCGAGTTGCGAATTCAGAAATCGAGTTGCGAATTTGAAATTCAGTGTTGTGAATTTGTAAATCGCATGGCGAATTTGTAAATCACGTTGCGAATTTGGAAATCGCATTGCGAATTTGGAAATCGCATTGCGAATTTGGAAATCGTGTTGCGAATTTGGAAATCGTGTTGCGAATTTGACTTTTGTGTTGCGATTTATAGATTCGCGTTGCGATTTACAGATTCGCGTTGCGAATTTGAAAATCGCAACGCGAATTCGAAAAAATCGCAATGCGATTTACATATTCGCATTGCGAATTTAGAAACTGAGTTGCAAAATTGGAGTTCGCGTTGCGAATTTGTTGGTTATTTTCGCAAATTCAAAAAAAGTTGGTTAAAATTGTATATTATAAGGCATTTTCGGTCACTGAAGTTATTTTCTCTAATTGAATTTGATTACTTCTATCATATCGAGTGAATACTGAAAAGTCTGGAATTGAAGGGAATATGTATATTTTTCCTTAAGCAATTGCTACACAAATGCAGGCCACAACTGGAATTGATTTTTTTTGTCAAAAACAATGTATCTCGAAGATCGAACGTTTCGTCTACAGCTTTGGTAACACAGCTTCTTCCTTTATTATCGCTATATTTAACAATATAGATCTTGGACAACTATGTTCAACGTTTTCTTTATTAGCTATGAATCCATTGATAAATTGGACATTAAAAAACAAGCCATCAAGCATATTTCTAGTGAACTAAAGATGTCCATTGCTTGAATTTTGGACAAGGATTGTTAATATCATTAAATTCTAGAGTGAGTACTTAAATGATCATTCAACTTTTAGGATGCAATTTAATCACAAATATAAAATAAGTAAAATATTCTTTAGAAGAAAATATATTAATTAATATTACTTTGAAGTTAATTACTTTGAATAATTAAAGTAAATATAGTTAACTTTAATCATTTTAATCTTAAAATTAATTTTTTAATAATACAATGTATGCTCTGTTTAGCTTAGGGGTTAGGTGTGGACAAGGATGGACCTAGGGGAGCACACCCTAAAAAATCTAAAATTAAAATGTATTTAAATTTTATTTTATATATTTTTTATTAAAAATCTGTTTTCTTCCACCTAATATTTTATAATCCCCTGAAATTTAAATCATGCGTCCTTCCTTGGGTGTGGAGTCCTCTTTTTGAGGGCTCTTAATTCGAATCTCAGGTGTGGAGGGACCACCAACAAACTATATCTTATTTTAGCCTTAGGGTTTGGGTGTGGAGTCCTCTTTTGAGGGTTCTTAATCCGAATCCCAGATGTGATTGGATCTTATTTTTAGGACTAGTTAGATGGCGACAGAAAACCATTTTATTGAAAAGTGAAGTCATTAAAATATTAAATAATTGAAATTTGAAACATCAAAACTCAAAAGTAAACAAAACAGCACAAATACAACTTTTTTTTTAAAAATATATATCTAGATTCATTTCAGGCAAATTTCCATTATAATGAAGTTGTAATGGTTCCTATTATTACTTATCAATTGCCTACATTTTCACAGCACAGTTAAATCACACGCGTGTCTGAGTGTTTTCGATCCCCAACATTGACAACGATAAAAGATGCTGCATTGCTAAATCACTATCCATATTTACAACGGGGAAATATATAAAGAGAGAAGCAGCAATACTTAGACAATAGTTCTCAAGCAGTTTCAAGAAAATACAAAGTTGAAAGCATGAGTTCGAAGTAGATGAGTACGAAGGTGCTACACATGGTTGAACCCATCGATACTTTGTCTAACTCTCAGCGTCAGATAAATCAATATCAATGACCCCAAACTTGACCTGAACCCAAGAAGAAACAATAAGGTTTTAGAATCACAAAGAGCAACTCTGATTACTCTTAGTACCAGGAAACGCTTTTTCGGTGAAGTTCGTCATAGTTGGTTAATGGAACACTCCCACCTCAAAAGAGAAGTTTCTTAGGGATTACTCTCCTGAGTTGGAGCCTAAGCTATCGGGAACGCTAAGTACGGCATGTGTCAAGCATGGATGCGTTTTATTTTTCCCAAGTTTTCTAATGGAAGATCATATCCTCGTGCTGTCGTACCTCTCCAAATGTGTGTCGGATATGGATAGTTCAAGAAAAACAGACATATTAATCGGAGTCATGTACTTAGGTCTTAGAGAATTCAAGTCTTTGAAGTTTGACCATTACGCTAGACAAACGACTCCTAAAGTGTTCAGTATGAAACAAGCATATGAAAAAAAATCAATAGTCTTGTACAACAATAATAATAATACTAATAGAAATTTAGATTTGAAGCAGTAACTAAAGAAACTAAAGGTATGTGCAACCTCCAACAAACAGCTAAATCAGAGTACCTAAAGAAACTCTAAGCTTCCTAATTTCGATAACACTGTTGGTTATTAATTACCATATATAGTTGAAACGTCACTACTTATTACTGAAGTTTTATCTTACTAAATGAAAATTTTGTAGTTTGAAGGTAAACTTCTGGTTTGCTAGGAATTGCAGAGCTTACAAGATAGAGAAAAGGAGGACTATTTTCCTCGAGTCAAATGATGCAGCTCGTTTATATCTCCTCCACCTATTCGTTGGTGCATCATGAACCCTCTCGGTTGATGATTTTTCTGTAGAAACAAAGTTTAAGTCATATGGCAAATTCTGCATTCCAGCAAGTGTTGGGTGCAATGGTAAAGCACATTGTACTCCCAATGAGACTCATGTTTGAACCTTTAAGACGACATTAACCATTAAAACTCAAAGCTGAGTTAACACTTACCTGCAATTAAGCTTCCTTGTCTCTGCAACACCTTCTGCAAATGCTGTAATTAATTGAAATCCAACATTAGAGTCAAGAAGAGTGAAGAAGAAACAATGCACTAAAATCTCAAGAAAGGAAAATCAGCAACACTAAACGATTAAATAAAAATTATATTTGGTAATGTCTGACACCGCATGCATGATCTGCATTTTACTGCCCGATTATGTACACAGGTAGATCAAACTTACTGTCACTACACCTTCACTTTTTAGATTTCCAACAGTTTCATCTTTGGTTTTAAGTGTCTCGGGAGAGTCTTCCTCAATGTTAATATCCAGAATGCAAGATGAATACCCATCTTCACCATCCACTTTCAAATCAATGCAGCTCTGGCAACTCAGTGGTACATCCAAACACATCTGGTTTTTGGATGAAAAAGGAACCTCTAGGAGGCTAAAAAATGTAAACTGTGATGTACAATTTGGATTCATATTTCCTTCCTCAGGCAACACAGAAATGCTATAGATATCCTGACCCTGCACAAGGAATGGAAAATATATAGGAACATAGAAAAAATGTTAAAAAAAACAGCTCAAGTAGTTTCCAAATTCTCATTTTAAAGTAATTTATTTATAGGAAAGATTATAAAGTTTGAACCAACTTTTTAAACAAGGATTGATGGGATAACAAATACTGGTCAGAAAGTATAGAATCTAGACTAAAAAATTTAAAAGCCAAAAAGGAAATTATGAGACGAGAAAAACCATTCAAATTTAAGTATTAAATTTCATGGGACTTGTGTGCTTTATCTGAGTCCCAGTTTAAGTGAATTTTCTTTCTAGAAATGAATTCATCTGCTTGAATTTCAAGAGATCAGGCTGACCTATTCTCAGCAAGGTCGAGCATGCTTCAAAAGCCAAAGCCAAATTGCAGTATTTTAAAAGTGTAATGTATTTCCTTTTGTTTTTAAAAGAGAAACTGAAGCAGTTTCTTATTTACTAAAAAAATACCCTTCTATATTATTAATGAACAGAGATCAAAAGGTTACATGATAGAAAGCATGTTTTAAGTTTGAATTGGGAGATTAAAACGTGTAATTAACATTTCTATTATTCTGGTGGATTAGAGAAAATCTAGTGTTAGATTACAGCCTGAATTTACATTAATGACATTGCAAGTTGCTATAAAAAATGATATGATTAGATTAATTAAGCGAGTGAATTTTTAAAAATCCTCATCAGACCAAAATGATTGAAGGGTGAAAAAAGGACGGGTGCAGATTACAAAAATTAACTCACATGTGAAGTGTTTAAGCTGCATTTTTCTCTTACTGGAAATGGCGTCTCCTCTATTAGAATAGGCAAGACATCTGAAATTTCAAATAAAAGGAAGTCATTAAAAATGCTAATCAAAGTAAGGACATTGATACTTATGATACTTTGACTTCGGTGGGAATGTCGGATAAAGGCATGTCTCCAACATGGCTATGTTCAATTTTAACAAGTTTTTTTTATTGTATTTAGAGGATCCTTAGAAGGCTCTATCCTCATATCGGAGTTCGGATATACATCAGACATGAGTGTTTAACACGAATACTTAAAAAATTGAACTGAATCAACATAAAACAATAGTCCAAGACGAATATTCTTACCAAGAGAACAATGTTGGTCCGTCTCATCAAATCCTGGCTTAATCAACCCAAAGCATGAAATGTCAACCGGCAAATGGGGTCTTCCACCCACCATCCCGGATAAGAGTGGTTTTTCCTGCAATTAATCACGAGTAAAAAAATAAAGCATTGCAAAATAAACTTTGAAAGAGAAGCACACAAAGATTATTTAACAAAGAAGGAACAATTTTCTTTTTCTCCTTTTCAAAAATAGAACCAGAGATAGGAAGTAGGCAACGCAAGAAAGTTAAATAATCGTAGCCATAAAAGTTATTTAATAATAAAAACAGTTTTATTTACCCAAGAAACTGAAGAAAATGCATGAAACTGGAAGTGAATATCTTCCTTATTCTACATTTACCAAACAAGAAGTTCAATTTTTTTTAAATGAATGGCAATGGAATGTAGACTAGATCATAAAGACCATGAAATTTTCACAAGCGGCAAATCTTGTAAGCACTCTTAAAAAAAGGCCAAACTTGCTTGACACTTACCCCAAAATCTGAAGCTTTATTTCCAAAAGCAGCTCCAATTCCATTACAGAAACAGAAAAAGATTCAAATGCCACTAAAAAGATAAAATTAAAAAGAGTCTCACCTCTTCGGTCGATTTAGCCGCCATAGCACCCAAAAGAACAGAAGGGGGGAAAAGGCAGAGAGCTAGAGTAAAATAGTGTTGAGCAAATCTCAGAATATTTCAAAAGAACATTTGGTTAAATTCATAAGTTGCTCTGAATTTTACAACACTGTATTTTCATATTAAGCTTTTAAAAGAGAAAAAAATGAACGTTAAAAGTCTACTCGGAAGAGAAACGAGGCACATAGATAGCGCAATTTGTCATATAAAAGGCTTCTGATTACGACTCCGACGACGACAAGAAGAAATTCTCTCCCTGCCACTTTCCTTTTTATTTGACGTTATTGCCCTTTTCGGTTTTTCATTTTTTTCATTTTTTTTATATGTTAAATTATACCATTGACCACTTTACTATTTAGACATTTTACTTTTGTTACTAATCTTTTAATTTTGTTAATCATATCACTTAACTATATAATTGTATTCAATCAAGTTGCTTCCCGTTAATTTATAATGGAAGTGCTGACATGACAGTTAATAAAATTGGTATAATTTACATTTAGTCCTTGATACTTATACATTTTATCAATTTGATCTTAAATTTAATTTAATTCAATAAATTTAATCCACCAATTAGATGGTTACACATTTCACCATTAGATTAAATGTTTTTTCCTACAATTTAATTGTTTATTTATTTATTTATATATCTTTCACTTACCATCTGGTTGATGAAAAACCATATATCAAACAAAGGAGTTAGCCATAATCAATCTTGGGACCTTACGAAGCAAATACACATATCCCAGCTCATAGAAAAGATGAAAGACAATCATGTCAGAGGAATTGATCACTTCTTAAGTGTTTATCTGGTTGTGGAATCATGAAGAGGAGCCCTCAAGCTATTCGTTAACATTGTTGATTAGCGACACAAGAGTGAGGTCATTCGAGATTAAGATTTTGGCACGAAGAGAACCATAAGTACCCACATTGGGGCATTACCAAAGCCAGATGTCGTTAAGATAACAAGATTCGAATCAAACAGACAAGATGAATGAGCCTGGCCGATTGGAGTGCCAAGGGTAGAATAAAAACAAACAAAGCTTACCTAGAGAAACAAACCATTCACACTTCAGTTAGCAAATGACTCTTGAGAAACAATTCTGATTGAAAAAATCGAGTCAAATACATGTAAGGTGTCCAGTCATCTACCTGATCGCAACGAGAATTTAAGGGAGGAAGCACTTTTTCTAGAATCATGTTGAATAAGCAAGAAAAAAGATAGAAGATGATAGGGAAATGATTGTTCCGGGTTATTAGTTTGACCATGCTGATGTTGGGGTAGACTCCATACAAGAGGGATCAAGTGAAGGAAGACCGAGATCTCTATTTGGAAGTCAAAAGAGGGTTAATGATAAACATTTCTGCATATAAGAGAGTCATAAATTACATGTAGATACATATTGCATTCACATTTTATACATCAGAGTATTTCTTTACAGATTTTTCAAGAAAAGAATAGAAGGAAAAGACAGAACTCAAGCCTTGAGTGAGTGGAATTATATTCTGAGTGACAGAACCTCGAGAATTGAAGAACCCAATCCAAGAAGAATCATTACTTTGATGTGGGGGCACGTTACCCAAATAACATTATATTTTCAAAAGAAATTTTAAAGAAACTAAGCATGATTTTCAAGGGTTTCATGATGATAATTTTCAATGATTTTTTTAAAAGAATATAAGCCTAATTTTTAGGGGTTTCTTGATGTTTTCAAATGAGTTTTTAGAAACTAAACCTGGTTTTCAGGGGTTTCTTGATGATTATCTCTAAAGAATTTTTAAAGGAAGCTAAGCCTAATTTTTAGGGGTTCCTTGATGACAACTGAAAACGAAAGATTTTAAGAAACTAAGCTTGATTTTAAGGGTTTCTTGATGAGTAAGTCCTTCGGTCTATCAGTAAGTCTTTCGAGCATGATGCTTAAATCCTTTGGGTCATCTATAAGTCTTTCAAACAATATGATAAGTTCTTTGGGCCATCCATAAGACCTTCGGGCATGATGTTTTTAGAAACTAAGCCTGATTTTCAGGGGTTTCTTAATGATTATCTCCAAAAAAACTTTAAGGGAAGTTAAGCCTAATTTTTAGGGGTTCCTTGATGATAACTGAAAACAAAAGATTTTAAGAAACTAAGTTTGATTTTCAAGGGTTTCTTGATGAGTAAGTCCTTCAGGCCACGAGTAAGTCTTTCGAGCATTATGCTTAAATCCTTCGGGTCATCTATAAGTCTTTCGAGCAATATGATAAGTTCTTCAGGCCATCCATAAGACCTTCGGGCATGATGTTTTTAGAAGCTAAGCCTGATTTTCAGGGGTTTCTTGATGATTATCTCCAAAAAAAAAATTAAGGGAAATTAAGCCTAATTTTTAGGGGTTCCTTGATGACAACTGAAAATGAAAGATTTTAGGAAACTAAGCTTGATTTTCAAGGGTTTCTTGATTAGTAAGTCCTTCGGTCCATGAGTAAGTCTTTCGAGCATGATGCTTAAATCATTCGAGTCATCTATAAGTCTTTCGAGCAAGACGATAAGTCCTTCAGTCCATCCATAAGACCTTCGGGCAGGGTTTTTCAACATTTCTTTCACTCGATTCACAACATTTCGAATCAGTGACGCCCCATCAGAGGGGTTAACATTTCTTTGTTCGAATCAGAAATGCCCCACCAGAGGGGTTCACTTTTCTTTTTTTCGATTCACAACACTTCGAATCAGCACTGCTCAATCGAGTGATCAACATTTCCAGTGAAAGGACAATGATGAGAAGAACTCGTAGCTTGAAGAACTGGAGATGGAGACTAAGCCGAGAGAACATAGCAAAGATGACATCATTTGCAGTAATGACGATTTTACAGAAAGAGATGAATTGACATTCCCAGCGAAGAGTTCACAGCTTGACAAGAAGAGACCAATATGAAAAAGTGTGCTTTTTATCTTTGCTTCATTTTCGTTTCACAGTAATGAGCAAAGAGGGGCAACTGTAACCAATATTTTTCAACTAAACCCAAACCCTCTTAAAACCTAACCCAACCGAGCCCAACATAAAACCCCAAGCACAAACCTAAACCAGACCAACCCAGAATCCAAACCTGACCCAGAACCCGAAAACCCGACCCAAGTCTAGGCTAGCCCTAGCCGTCCATTTCACCCAACCGAGAGCTACCCTCCTGTGCCCTAATCCCGGATGAAAACCACTCGTGCACGCCACCCAGCTACATGCCACTGTCACCCCAACGTTTCACTCATCATTAGCAACTACACCAAATCAGAAGAGATTTTTTATTTTATTATTTCATGCATGTAAAGCAGTATATAAGAAACTCCAAAAAAAATATGTACAGACAAAGGACTCTGGATGGAAAAAAGAGACATTCGAAGTCCTTGTTTTTCGATTCAAAAGAAAACAATACAAAAAATTTCGTTTCCAGAGCAATTTCATTTTATTTTCGAAATACAAAGATATTTTAGTAATACATAATAGTAAATCGGGCATAAAAGAATTTTTTCTTTCCTACGAAATCGAGCAAAAGATGAAAGTTTTTAGTGTGGGTTTACCTGGGTTGCACGAGTGCCGGTGGGGGTCTCACCAGCTCTGTCTCCCAGCCGTTCGTAGTTTTTATCATGGGAGACGTGTAACACCCCCAACCCGTACCTGACCCGGTTACGAGTCTGAGGTGTCACATCAACTTTTAAAACCTTTACTTGTTTAAAATAATGAAAATTTCCCGTTAAAGAAAACTTCATATTATTTCAAAATAAAAGTTTACAAACTTATCAGAGCATATACTATTCAAACCGTTTATATTACATGCCAACTATATCTAAAAGAATAATATACATATCAAACATTTCTTTTCTGATCTGAACATTGTAAGGAAGATGCTGACCTGTCTTGCTCCTCTCAACTTCTCTCTTTTCACTTTCCGTAACCTGCGTGTGGAACCCTCACACGCTAAGTCGATGACTTAGTGAGGCATAAAACATATAATAGAACTCTCACTCGTAATCATGCATGAACAATTTCTACTAACATATTATATACAAGCATAACACACACATATATGTACATATCAATTCCATACTAATTCCTAATATGCACATTTCATATATTTATTCTAAATTGTCTAACATATTATTCATCAGTAAATAAATACATATATATCCACTTCATACCAACTCATATATTCCTTTATAAAACATTTACTTATATACACATATCATCATTTACGTATTTATCATACTCTTATACTATTATCATTTATATCTCTTATCTCTTTATTCCTATGGTCTCTTACATTCATATTCTATATCTCATAACAGATTCTTATATTATCATATAAGTCATTTATATTCATTCACATATACATTAACATACATTTATGTGTATCATGTAACAGATGCAACCTCCCATAACACACATAAATCATATCATACAATTCATATTACACATCAGATGTATATATTACATACGTTGAATTCAAAGTTATCTCTTTATTATGATCTCTTTGTTGGACCATGTACATATGTGAGAACTAAAGATATGCGAGTACATTAAGGTTGTGCACATATGTTGTCACCACAACTCGTATAAGTCTCACTGAGTGGTATGTGAAACATGTCTCGAAGGACCTATGCATTTGTCCCGAATGACCACTATCCATATGTTCCGAAGAACATAGGTAATTGTCCATATGTCTTGAAGAACATAGGTAATCCTGTCCATATGTCTCGAAAGACATAGGTAACCCTCGACTCTTGGCATGCCAACTATACATATAACTCTCATTACAAATAACATGGGCATTATTTTTATAATTATCACATAACTCTTTATCCCATTCTCATATGATCACATAATCATGTAGTTCACTCCCATATAGTTCACATATCCAATATACATATAATCATGTAGTTTACTTTTCGTGTAATTCATGCCACTTCTCATATCACTTTGCATAGTTTCACATAAACATCTATCATATCTTATCCATATATATATATATTCTCAAATACATGTAAGCACATATATTCTTATTTTATAACTTATGTTACATATGCATGAAATCTTATGACTCATTATCAAGTAGCTCAAATAACATTCTATTATCCTTTATTATATGTTCTCCATGTTGTATCATATAATTCATAGTTATTGTCACATAACTTAACTCATATCATATTA